CGTTGCCATTAATTGAGAATCGATTGAATAAATCATTGAACGAATAGTTGGAAACATTTGCGGCAAATATTTGTCATAAAAACGATTTAAATAATAATTTTCAACAAATGTTGGTAGTTTACAAACATATGGATAACTCAAATTTGACTTAATATTTTTGCAAGTGTTAATCATAGTATATTTTAACTTTATTTTTGAGTTTTGTTTCCACAACTCGTATTCATGTTTTAATCCAAATTCATTATTAATCTTTGTTTTGTCAAAAAACACATCCCTTTCCGTACAGATAGTAATCTCTGGTAAACGCAATTCATTGCTCGGCTGTACGTTAACGCTATAGACATAGGGATAACTGAAATAATTTGTTGTTAACTCTACGGTCCCATAGAATAACACACAAAAACTTAAAACTTTTGCAACCAATTTAAGTGATGTTTCAAAAGTGAATCTATGATTAACTAATATTATACGAATGAATTGCTTAATTTTTGGTACAATGCATAATAATGCCATAATTTTATTATATATAATATATTATCAAAATTCAATTTAAATGTGCAAAATATTTACTGAAAATCAATTGTTTTTATACACTTATCCAGTATACATATTATTTTGTATATTATACAATGAAATGCCTACAATTTCTTTATGTAAGTTTTTTGTAATAACTGTTATATTTATCATATTTGAATAAGATGGTTGCTATGATTAAATGCAATTAAACATTGCATTTGAATTTCAATGTTTTGAATATCAAATAAATATTGCATGTGAAACACCCTTATTATATAATAATAATTTAATATTTCAGTTTATTATTAAATGAGTTATAATGCATTTTATAAGACCACTCCTAATAAATAAATATTTTGCTATTATATTTATGTTATATGCGATAAAACCATTTTATTAATTAAAATGTTTGCAACAAAAATATTTGTGTTAAGCAGTACTGGCTCTATAAACAACACGTATGGAGTGGCATAACTACGGCATAACCACAATTCGGAGGGCTTTACTTTTATTACCGTCGACCCGTTAAATAATTTAAATTTGAATAACTTAAAAACTATTTGAAATAGAATAATAGCAATAATTATCATTATTACTAAATTAATGTTCTAACTTTATTAATTATGTTTCATTTCAAATAATTCATAAAATATTTCTCACGAGATTTGTTTATATAAAATAAATTGTTTGAAATAATGAAAAATTGTAATTATTTATTTATAATTAATTTTATTATAAAAGTTATATTTATGTTTTAGTTATTTAATATTTCTGTTATGTTATAATATAGAATTATTTATTATTATAGTATAGTAAATATTACATATAATTATAATATAACATAAATAATATTATTATATTTACGACGTTTGTATGTTAATTGTATAATATAAATTTTATCAAGGTTATTAATGAAATTTATTAGCATAATTAATATTACATTTATTTTCATTATTAGTACACAAAATAAGTATTGTGCTATTACCATACAATACATTACACTAATAATTTAATATATTTAAAAGAATTTGATTAAATAAATACTACATGTACCAGGTTTAAATGTCACTGCACAAACATAGTCAATAAAAATAGGTTTAATAATTGATTAATTAATAGAGTATTAATAAATTATCATGATTAAAAAATTCAATCATCGTCACTCATTGGCTAAGTTCAATACTATGTCTAACGGGCTGTTTGTCCCACTCCTGCTGTTTGGCCGAACCGAACACAACGAACACAAGTCCGCCAAAAACGTTAAGCGCGGCCGACATGTAGAACACGTACGCCCACTGCCGGCGCACGTGTTCTGTCCCGTCGCCCACTATTACCCCGATTACTAGTGGTGTGATTATACCGCATGTGAATGCTATGGAGTTTGCAATCGCGAACACTGTTCCCACGTATTGCAGTGTCATGTCTAGTGTGGTTAGAAAATAATTAGCATAGTCACTATTTTATTACTAGTTAACTTAATTATTTGTAAATAAAATTTAAATTATTAATATAGGCTTTGTTTGAATATAATAAACATGCTAAAACTTTTGCATACCTGCATCAACCGGTACATCGCCACCACCACGTAATCCGTATAGAAACACACCCTGATTGAAAATGGTAATTTAATTGTCAATATTAGACATTTTAAAATTGAATTACAAACCAATATAAGTAGAGCAATGACTAGTGAATTATTACAATTTACTAATGGTATGACTGCTAAACAGGCGGCCGATCCAAACGTGGCTAAAATATAAATAAAATATAATATAACTTTACAGCTAGTTACTTTACTTTAGCTTTTAAGTTATACCCAATGATTGAAATATTTTTCGTATTAATGTTTTATCGTAATGCTTTTTACTGATCAAATAATCCGATACATAACCACCAATAAATAATCTGAAAATATATTAACAGATTGTTATATTGTTACATTGTACAAGATACATAATTTATTGTGACATGATTATATTACATACCCAATAGGCACAGTTACATTTACACCAGCATTAATAAACCCATTCTTTATATTAATACGGCGAAATAAAAATATAATTAGCATAATAATACCTAACAAATTAGTTTAAAATATTCACCTGTTCAGCTGAATAATTGAATACGACTTTTAAATATGAGGGCAATTTCAACAAAAACATTATGGATATCCAATTGATGGTAAACTTGACCACAATTAACGACAGCACCGGTAGTGATGTGAATATCTTAAGCCACGGCACAGATGTGCGCTGTTTTGCCGGTACACCCGCTATACCATTACTAGCAGTTGTTTTACTATTAACATTGTTGTTGATATTAGCGTAACGAACTGGGTTAATTATTTTTAGTTCATTATGGGTCATCCAACGATGGTGGTGCGGCTCACTTTGCACTAATACTATCCATATTAACATTAAAACACTAGTCATTATAGCTGCAAATAATTGTAATTAAAATAGATATTTTAATAAAACTTTTTTTAGTTTAAAAATGATTATGTACAAAAATATTACCTGATACGTAAAAAACCGATGGCCAGCCGCCGGCAAAACCCTCCTCGGTCAAATAACCGGTTAGGGCTGACGTGACAATTGTGCCAATATTGCCGCCAATTAACGGTAGGGATAGCACTACACTGTAAAAAAAGTTTGTGATTAACACAACTGTTAAAAATTTTAATAATTATATCACAAATGAAAAACAAAAAAAACTAAAAATAGTTTTACTATATTTTTATCAGTAATAAAACTATTGTAAAGTTGTATTTTTCTGTTTACAATAACATACCTGCGCTCGTGTTCGGGCGTCCATTTGGCCACCAGTGCATAGCACGCGGGAAACAGTACCGACTGAAAGGCGCCCAACACTACACGACTGGCCAACAGTAGCCAATATATGCGGGCG